TTTTTTTTTTTTTTTTTTTTTTGAAGCTCAAACCTAAAATTGAATCCTTTCATGTCTCTTTGCATTTTGGCCAGGGCCTCCTTCTGGGACAGTAGAGGCCTTGGTTGAGTTTGAACAGGCAAGGATGACTAAGCAAATCAAAGAATCTTACTGTCCCCTCTCGTGCTCTTGTCCAGGGAGTCCCTGTAGTTGCATTGCCTTAAGTTAAATCCAAGTTATCATGTAACTGCACTGGGTTATCTTCTGTATTTCCCACAGCCGGCTGCAGCCTCCGATGTTACCGTTTCGCTTAGGAATCTAACTGGTCGCAAGTAACAGAAATGGACCTGGCTGGCTTCAGCAGGGAATGAACTTCATTGGCAGAACGATGGATAATTCAGAGGTTGGATGGGACAGCTGGAAGCTGGGTAAGAATGGGGGGCCCCAGCCAGAACCAGAGCCAAAGTCGCACGCAGAGCTGGTTCCTTGAAGACGGTGCCACCACCTGTTCCACACGGCTGGCCCTGTTGCCCCGGAAACTAATCTTTCTACGATTCATATCCGATTGGCCGAGCTTTGGTCATGTGCCCATGTGTTAGCTGCAAGGGATGGGCTGGGAAACTGAATACCTATTTCAGCTTCTGTAGAGAGACAGACGCTTTGCCACCAAGGCTCATACAGTGGGAAGTAAATTCTTTAAACATAACGAGGGGGGAGTCTGATACTGGACAGTAAGGGGAAAAAAAAGGACAAGACTCTACTCTCATCTAAAGAAAGAAGTCTATAGTCCTAGTGTTTTTCTTTCTTTTTTTTTTTATTACATTTATTTATTTTTGAGAGAGAGACAGGGCACAAGTGGGGAGGGGCAGAGAGAGGAGACAGAATCTGAAGCAGGCTCCAGGCTCTGAGCTGTCAGCATAGAGCCTGATGCGGGGCTTGAACCCACAAACCGTGAGATCATGACCTGAGCCGAAGTCGGACACTTAACCGCCTGAGCCACCCAGGCGCCCCGTGTGTTTTTCTTTTTTACCTTGATTTGCAGGAAGCTCAGGCCTCAGGTTTGATCCCAGCAGGGATCATCCTATAGAAACCTGACTTTCAGAGTGTTCTCGGAAGAGCCTAAGAGCTTCATAGAGAAACACCCGGAGCTGGGCCAGCAAGGGGATCTCCGCCCTGCCCCACCCTGCTTACTTGAAGGTAGCACCCCTCGCTGTTTTATATCTGTGGCTTCTACTGAAGACATTTGATGAAAGACCTCCATTGCTAGGGAATATTTAAACCTGTGCTTGGGTGGGTCAGCCCACTTGCCAGCCTCTCTCAAGGCTCACGTTCTCTTTCCATGTCAACGATTTCACTTTGTGCACGCAAGAGAAGGCACCAGGAAGCCCTTCTGGAAGCAGGTGGTTATAAATCCTAGGAGAGTCACTCCCTCTGGGGCATTGAGAAGGTTCCCGGGTGTGAGTTTTGCCTGGATCCCTGTAAACAAATACCTGCTGCTAACTATGAGTCACTCAAAAGTCCAAGTTCATCTCAGGGTCCCTTTAGGCCTCTGAGAATTCAAAACATTTTCTCTGGCCGCCCAGGGTGGTGTTTTGCTTGCAAATTTGCTGGAATTTCAAGTTTATTAAAGGCTCTCCAACCAGTACAGAATTTCTGTCAAATGAAGCTTTTTGTTTTGTCTTTAAATCTCTTCTGAACCCAGCAAAACCTAATAACTGAGATTTCTGCCATATTTCAAAAGTAGGGCTTTCCCTGGCCCTTAGCCTGACCTGCCGGACCTGTTTTCTACTGTTGCCTATCGAATGAGTTTGAGGGCTTCTCGTGAAGTTTTAGGGAAGGGAGAAGGAAGGGTTACCTTGGATTCTCTGCCCTTGGTGAACGTTTGTTTTCTTCATTCCTTTTTACGGTC